CAGAGATTAACCCGGCTGCCGGGCGTGGGCTGAGGGCCTAGGAAGCACCGGCTGCTCTGGGCCTCGTGCAGACAGAGAACCCTTCTCTGCCGCGGACACTGACAAGCCGTGCTCTCCCGCTGCAGGTATGGCCTCACAGCTGCAGGTGTTCTCCCCTCCGTCAGTATCCTCGAGTGCCTTCTGCAGTGCCAAGAAACTGAAAGTGGAGCCCTCTGCCTGGGATGTGTCGGGACAGAGCAGCAGTGACAAGTATTATACCCACAGCAAAAACCTCCCGTCCGCTCAAGGGCAGGCGAGCTCCTCTCATCAGGTAGCCAATTTCAGCATTGCCCCTTACGAGCAGAACCTCCTTCTCCCCACTTCTTCGGTCGAGCACATTGTGGTCACAGCAGCAGACAGCACTGGCAGCAGTGCGACGGTGTCCTACCAGAACAGCCAAACCCTAGCCCATAGGAGCAACGTTTCTTTACTGGAACCCTACCAAAAATGTGGATTAAAAAGGAAAAGTGAAGAGGTTGACAGCAACGGTAGTGTGCAAATAATTGAGGAACATCCACCTCTCATGCTGCAAAACAGACCTGCGGTGGGTGCTGCGGCCACGACCACCACGGTAACCACTAAGAGCAGCAGTTCCAGTGGTGAAGGGGATTATCAGCTGGTTCAGCATGAGATCCTGTGCTCTATGACAAACAGCTATGAAGTCTTGGAATTCCTGGGCCGAGGGACGTTTGGGCAGGTGGCAAAATGCTGGAAGCGTAGCACAAAGGAGATTGTAGCCATCAAAATCTTGAAAAACCATCCTTCCTATGCTAGACAGGGCCAGATAGAAGTGAGCATTCTCTCTCGCTTGAGCAGTGAGAATGCTGATGAATATAACTTTGTTCGCTCCTATGAATGCTTTCAACACAAGAATCATACATGTCTTGTCTTTGAGATGCTAGAACAGAACTTATATGATTTCTTAAAGCAAAATAAATTCAGCCCATTGCCTCTGAAATACATTCGGCCAATTCTGCAGCAAGTGGCTACTGCCTTGATGAAGCTAAAGAGCTTAGGTCTGATACATGCTGACTTGAAACCAGAAAACATCATGTTGGTGGATCCTGCCCGTCAGCCCTATAGAGTGAAGGTGATAGACTTTGGTTCGGCCAGCCATGTGTCCAAAGCGGTGTGCTCCACTTACTTGCAGTCCCGCTATTACAGGTAAGTACTGTCTTTTATGTGCTGCACTGTCAGAGTTGAGCTGATCCTAGTGGGATGCTGGGGATTGCACTGACAAATACTGCTCAACTCTTTTGCCTTAAAATCTGATTCCAGGCGGGGGAGTGGAGGGGAAGAAGTGATCAGCCTACCCTGTGTCCCACATGGTTCCTCTCCAGAGGGAGCTTTCTTTTGAAAATTATATGTAAATAAACAGAACTGCTGCTTTGCAGCTGTGGCATATCCAGCTCAATACCTTCCTCTCGCTCTAGGTCAGTGCAGTAAATTAATTTACCTGCCCTGAGTTCATGTTGAAGTGATCCAGGGAAGTAGTACATTACTAGTGTGTAGTAAATATTGTCTTGTTTGTCAAAGTCTGAAGCTACACCTTTAGCCAGAGTCATTTAGAAAGAATAGAAGTTAAAGGGAGGCCAATTTCCTTTTGTCCTTTTTTATTCTCACCTAGTAAAGAATAACTGAGTCTGAGTTTCCTTGACAAACACTGAGCTTCCTGTATCAATACTTGATAGGTCATATTTTCATGAGACCAGTAGTTCTAAGATGATTATGAGTTGGATCTGTGCTGCTTTTAGCAAAAGGTAGAAGTGACTTCAGCCCCACTCCAGTCTTCCCAGAATTCAAAATAATAAAAAAAATCCCTTATTTTGGGCAAGCTGTTGTTAATACTCGGAGGCTGTATAGGGAAAGCAAGTTGTGCTTTTTCTTTCAATTATTCCTGCAACATGGTTCTGTTAATAGTGTGTAGCAGAGGCACTTGAACAAGCCTGTGCTGTGTTTTGGGGGTTGCTTTCACTGGAATGCGAGTTCGCTCGACACAAAACTTAGCCGGTATCTAGCCCTTCCAGCTGGGATGAGGGAGAGGGCTCAAGATGCTCCACCCTGCGTCTGTGCCCTGTTTGATGTCTTTCCTTTCCTCCTAGCTTTCTTTTAAAGGCCTGGCTTGTTGCAGGCTTGTTCTGTTTGTTCTTCATGCTCCTTATATCCTTACTCTTTGCTTTGTTTTTTTTATGCTCCCTCTTAACACTTAGTACCAGCTTACTGTGTGGCTTCTTTCATGTGCTATACCCTGTTCTTAATGCTTTCCTAATGATCCTCTCCCAGCTGGTGAGGACTGATCACTTCCAGTCTAAACTTTTTTTTTTCTATTGCAATTGTCTTTTATTGTCTGTTCAAATGTTTGTTGTCTAAATGTATTAGCAATGTTGTTGTTATTTTTGTATTGAAAGAGATGACCTGTGATGAAGAATGTGTTTCTGGGATGTGCAGCATATGTGTGGCCAAAGCAGTCTGGGGAGGCCTATAGTGCCTCCCAGTTTCTGGTATCACAGGAAAAAAACAGATTGGGCTGATGTGAAGTAGCAAGGGATGATAAATATCTTACAAGGCTGCTGGAAGGAAGCTGCCTTCTTTGCTGTGCACCCTGAGCTGAGTGCAAAGCCACTTCCACCTCCCTGGCAAGGGGTGGCCAACGCTGCTAGAAAGACAGATACCCTAGGATTAGATGATGTTTAAGGCTGCCTGCTCTGCTGAAGTTGAAGAATGCTGTGATGTGGAAATACACTATTTAAAGTGTTATATAATTAGTTTTAATGATGGTGATTACTAAAATTCATATTCAGTGGAGAAACCAACAAGTTGTGGAAGACCTGGATTGCTTTAAGCATATTCACGCTAAGTTAGTTTTCAGATGTGATCTGATGTTGAAATTGTTTCCAAGCTGTGTTTAATAAAACAGTATAGACCAATCCTGGATTTGGTTCACTGTCGCCTATTAAAAATAAACTTCCCTTGTTCTGTTCTGACTTTTTTGGTTTGAAAACCTTGTTAGTGACACTTGTGTAACCTCTATCTCCAGCTGTGTCCCATGTAGTGAAGTCTAAAACAGCCAAACTCAAATTTCTGATATTTGTACCCTGGACGAATACACAGTCCTTTACTAGTTATGCTCAGTGCTGTAGATCACTAGAACACTCTTGGCTTGAAAGACTGAAGGCTAGAGGTAGAATAACTTTGGCAGTCGCCCTTCTATGGGGTGACTAGTTTGTCTTGCAGCACTGCAATCCACTAGCAGCAATTCTTGACTTTAAGTGTAGAGTACATTCCCACTACCTACATACGTACCCAAGTGCGGCAGGGTATGGATGCTTTAGCTTTCCTTGGGGAGAACAAAAAATAAAAGGAAGTGAACATATTGCAGAAGTGAAATTCCCCGGGAAGACTGTGAGCTTTGTTTGTGCCCTCTGCTACATGTAAGTGCGTCTATCCCACGAGCCTTACTCAGATCCCCATCTCCTGGTGTTTCCTGTGGCTCAGCGTAGAGGTGCCAGCGACTGAGGGTGCTGAGCTCAAGGACCGAACAATTCAGGCCACGAGGAGCTGGCCCTGGGTACTCGTAGTGTGCAGTAGGATCTCTTCCTTGCTTCTGCTTTCAGCCATGTGCCCTATTTCTGTCGCAGTTATGTTGGCCTGGGAAGTAGCTTTGCCTGCTGCCAAATCTAACTTTCTCTACTTCCTAATCCAGCTTCGAGCAGGGATTGCAAATTATTCACTGCGTTGCTAGCTGCCACTGTACAAGCCTCATATTGCTATCATGCTTCAAAGGGAGGAGGACTAGATCCATACATAAATGTAGTATATTTTGAAGGTTGAAAATAAGTTTCAGATTTTTTCTGCCGCTGCTGTGAACCCACTCTCCCTTGAGAGGACTGGGCATGCTTGCTAACCTGGAAGTCAGAATTTGGCAGGCTCATATGCAAAGGAAGAATGTTGTTGATTTCTATTTCAAAGAGCTTGAGATAGTGAAGATCACTTTAATCTTTGACAGCCCACCTATCAAAGTAACCTCAGTGTCTTCTCCCATTTCAACTACCACCTCCTAAGGCCACTAATGACAGCAGGGTGAAACAGGAGATGAGAGAGGTTCTAATTTACCAGCCCTGTCTTGGAATCCCCATGAAGTCAGGTGGCTTCCAAGAAGTTCATTTATTTAGTTTAAGCTCTAGGGAATACAATGCACAGAATTCAAATTACTATCATTTTGATATTGAGGTTTCAGAGTACATGTGTCTGTTCGAGTATGTAGTTAAAGACTAATGAGCTATCACCTCCAGCTTCTGTTGACACTAACCTCTTTCCATTAGAATCAGTGGGACTTTTTCCAGGCAGTTGTGAAGGATTGGTATGTTCTGCTCATTCCACGAACCACTTGCATTTAAACTTATGTCTGTCACTCCAAAAGGAGAAAATTTATGCACGTGGCATTGATTATATCATGGGTTCGGGTACTCTCCAATCTGGACAGTCTACAATGTATGGGATAAGGAAGAGGATCAGTGTAGTTCATTGATGATGCATCTTTGCATGGTCGTGGGGGAAATCTTGCATGTTCTCAGACCATGGACAACTGGGACAAATATCTTTGTTCTGGAGACTGGCTAGTTGTGCTGGTACACACCTAAACAAAAGCTCTGTCTGTGTTACCACAGCACAAAGGGGAATTGATTGGAGTCGTTTATTGCTATGTCCAAGCACTTGGGAGATATGTTCAGGTTGAATAGTAGATGAAAGTGCATGTGGTCTGTTGATACCTGTATATTATGCAAGTCTTGTTTTCAGTATTCTGCAGAAAAATGAGAACTGGTTTCATGGAGGTGCATACAGTGTGACATGACAAATGACATGTAGGCCCTGGGACATGCTATCCGAGTCATGTCCAGAAATAAGATAGGCCAGAGTTAGGACATTTTGTGGTCTTTTGCATAGATATTACTTAAGCATAAAGAAAACCAAAGTTTTAACGTTTCCTGTACTTTCCAGAGTAAACTCCCATATCAGCTCGCATCACTTTTGCTGTGCTTGAGTTTTGTGCCATATGCAAATGTACGGGTAGAAATTACCCAACCAAACAGCATCAATTCATGTTGGGGCTGTGGTGTGTGAGGTGAAGAGTTGCACTAACACATCCTTTTTGTGTTATGAGTCAATACCAGACAGAAATTCCCCTACGATTTCAGACTTTTGCAGAAGTAAATCCATGCTGAAGGCTGAGGGTTTTTCTTTTCCTGTCAGGCTTGGCCAGGCAGGCAGGTTTTGCATTAGATGTGGTCGAGTGCCCAGAAACCTGTAACACAACCTTGCAAAACAGTTACAATCTCGAGCTGTGCTCTCTTCATCTGTTTTAAGCACAAAACTCTCCAAACAAACCCCGTGCAAAAAACAGTTGGTAGAAACTGAGCAGCTTTCTAAAGAGCTGCTTTTTCTGGCTTTGCAGATGCAGTTCCTTTCCACATGACAGCAGGCAGCCTCTATAGCTGGTACCTGGGGTAATGGGGCCTTCTTCAGAGAGAGGTCTGTTTCCTTCTGGCAGAGCTTTTCTTCCAGATTCTGCTCAGGAAGGTTGTATGCTGTCTCAGGGAAGCCTAGAGCCATAAATACTCTGTCCTGTGTAATTAAACCAGCTAGTAATCTCATATCACAGTTACATAAAGGCCAGCTTGGACTCGTTCCCACCTGGGTGTTGGAGGCCACCATGGCAATAAAGCAAAAACAGCCCATGCTGCTAAGTGGAAAAAAGGTAGATCTGTCAGGACCCCTGAGGAAATGGCTTTTGCTTTAAAGTCGTTTAGTTTCACACAAATTTACTTGTGCTTGGAGGAAAGAAGAGCATTATCTAGAGTAATTTATAATAACAAGCTACATGATTTCTGATCCAAGGATTTCACTTTTTTTTTTTTTTTTTTTAAACAGAGCTCCTGAAATCATCTTGGGTTTACCTTTCTGTGAAGCTATCGACATGTGGTCACTAGGCTGTGTGATAGCTGAGCTGTTTCTAGGCTGGCCTCTGTACCCAGGAGCATCCGAGTATGATCAGGTGCGTGGTGGGTGCAGGGATGTCCTGACGGAACCCTGGTGATCTGTGTCCAGAGCCTCTGAACCGAACTGTCCTGCTTCAAATTTTATCAGATATTGATCTCTATTGTCTTTTAACTTAAACTCATTTTCAATCCGTAATTTTCCTGTTGCTTTTTCTTTTTGTCGTTGTGCAGCAGAGCACAGAATTCTTCATGGTTTTTACTTGAATTTAATGTACTCATATAATACATAGGCAATTCACAGTTAATTCTCCTGCCTCCCAAACCCAAAACGCTGTTGAAATACCTTCCTGTCAAAACAGAAGTGAGGTGTGTGTCCTGATTTGAAATGCCCTCTGTGATTTCACCACAGGTCAGCTTTTCCACCTAGAGACAAAGCAGGCCTATCATTCCTGTGTTGTTAATAACTGCCGTTGCCCTCATTTTTATGCAAAGTGTGGGCCCCAAGCTCTCTCTAATATACAGGAACAAGCTTCTGAAAAGTCATGTTTAATTGTTTTTTACCTACGTTCTTAGCTTTGTTACCTGGACTAGTCAACTGCCTATAAAAGGACAAAAGTCTTTTTGAGAGTAACTTTTCCGTTGTGATTTTTATGGTGATGCCTTGTGACAATGCTTGGTATACTTTTTTGTATGTGATAAAGCGACCTTTCTCAAATTATTTTTTGAAAGCCTCAGTTGTAGTCTTCCCAGCACTGTAAATTTCCAAACGAAAAACACACTGGTACCTCAATGAGCAAAATGAGTTAGAAAAAAACTGAGGCTCAGCCTGGTGGTTTCCTTGCACAATAAGTTTTGTGTAATTCTGAGAACTTTATCTGGGCATGTAGGTGGTTGGGGAGGATTTTTTTTTCCATTGCTTAATATACAGGATTTTGCAGTCCTTTGAGGCCGCAGGAGGTATGACTTCATGTGGCTGATTTCGATATCTGAATTGCCCCTGAAAAGCAAGGGTGACTTGCTTATTTTCCGAGATTCTGCCACAGCAAATGAAAGCTAGGCAGAACTTCTGAAGACATCTCCCTAGCAAAGCAATTCATGTGCCAGGATGGGATTATGTCTGAGTTACAAGTTAGGTTTCTGAGTTATGTCTCAGAAAAGCGACAGAAGTCCTAGTTTAACTGATTATAACTATGAAAAATACTAATCTAAAACACTTATGGCTTTGTGGCATAAATGAAAACAGAACATGCATAAATGGATCACAAGCTATACCAAACAACTTAGTGCCCTGCGGTGTTCAGCTGCCGGAGAACAACGCAAGAGGAAGAAATGAGATACATTAAAGGAACTATATATGGTAATTTCAACCCAACCCAGCTACCTTCACCCTGTTTCCAATCCTCATTTTTGTAAGAGGATTATTACCTTTTATTTTTTTAAACTCCTAAATAAACTTCTGAAGAGGGATGGTCATAACAAAAGCAATGTCACCTTTCTCACTGTACATCTTAAGAAGAAAGAGCATTAGCAATACAGGCAACATCTGGAATATTTGGGAAAGCTTAGTTTTGATTTTTTGTCTTATCTTGCAATTTTCTTTCCCTTTAAGGACTTATTTTTACCTCTGCTTTGTTTTTAGCTGTTGGCTCTTTACCAGTGTCTTATTGATACCATTTTTGCTACTTGGGTGCATTTTCAATAATCCTTTTGTTGTAGTTGCTGATACTTGTAATTGTACTTGTATATTAATGCTTTTGAGGATGGATTGTGCTAGAGATTTGGTCTTACTTTCTTAGTCAGTGAGAGTCTGCCATAACATTTTTCTCAAACCATATTCCCAGAGTCTATGTAGCCAGTCACAATAGTGTTCTGAGATAATTTTGCCTTTAAGTATACACACATGTGGTAACTTATGCAGTATTTTCTCTAAAACTGTATACTCTTTGAGTTGCTGATATGATACACCACTGGTTTTACCCAGTACTTTACCCATATCTCAGAAGCTTCAGTCTAGTTGCATACATTTAGGCAAAAAAAGTATACATAAGGCAGATTGATTAAATGCCTAAAATTTCTGCAGATAACAGGACAAAAGAGGGTAAGTGTCCTTAAAAATACTTGGAATAGTCCCCTTAAATTTTGTAGTTTCAGTTATTTGGGCATTCTGTATTTACAGGCAATTTCCTGTTTATTGTGAGCAAATCTGGCTGATAACTACTTCATTAACTACCAGCCCAATATCCTGGAAGCCTTTATACTTTTCTTTTTCTTTCCTAGATTCGTTATATTTCACAAACTCAAGGCCTTCCAGCAGAGTATCTTCTCAGTGCAGGAACGAAAACAAGCAGGTTTTTTAACAGAGACCCAAATTTGGGATATCCACTGTGGAGGCTAAAGGTTTGTATGTCTTTTTCACTCTTAACTGTTTAATTCACTGAGAACTTGATGTAAAGTCACATGTAATTTTAGTGTACTCTGAAAAAAATTCCAATTAAAGATTGGCTTCTAATGCTGTTCAAACATAGCTGATTTGTGTATTTCCCCTCCAAAACTGTACAGACCTCCTAGCGCTTCTCTAACAATAGCAGTTGTGAGTGATAGCACCAGCAGAGAGTGGGTGTTAAAGTGATTGAGATAATGGTTGCTTATTGTGGCCTACTCCTTCTTGGTGAAGTATGTCATCTTGTTGTCATCTCCTGATAACAAGAAGACTAAAACAGAAAATATTTCATGGTGGTGTTTGTTAATTTAACAGAAATCTATTTATATACTAGCAGAAGACAGGAAAGAGTCAGTCAGATGTGCTTTTTTGTTTTTTTTTTTCCCTCTCTCTTTAAAGCAGACCTACAAAATGAAGGTAATTTTGCCTTTGTAAAAAGAGACTTCTAAACATATTTAAAACCTTTCCTGTCCCAAAATCAAAATCAAAAAAAAAAAAAATGTCTGCTCAGATGCTCCCTAATGCCACTATAGTTCTTTTGGTACTGCACAAGGAATCCTCAAAGTGCCCCACTGATGTTAATTCATCTTGGATAGTGTCTCAGCTTGCAGTGAATAATCTTTCCAGATTAGGAAATGAGAACCCATGGCTGTTTTGTTCTGTCTTGCTAGCAAATTATTTTTTTAAGGCAACCAAAGAAAATATATAGTTCACCTATTCCTTTTCCTTTTTCTTTGTCCTTATTCCAATACAAGATGTTTTATTAACAAATGCTTTGTTTTGTAGACTCCAGAGGAGCATGAGTTGGAGACGGGAATAAAATCAAAAGAAGCTCGGAAATATATATTCAATTGTTTGGATGATATGGCGCAGGTGTGTGGAAAGATCTTAACATACAAATAACTATCATTTTGAGTACACACAAAAATACTGGAGTCTCTAAAAAGGGGGCCCATGTGAATTCCATGTATAAGCTTCGCTTCCTTGTATTAACATGGGCAAGGAAGAAGCCGTGTGAGATATTGTAGTACTTAAATTGGCTAAGGGAGAAAATAAAGATTTCTTTGTAATGTGAAGTTATGCAATTGTTACTTGTAGCAGTAATGTAGTAAAGTAGTAATGGATTTGATATTCACATTAATGATTCCTTTTTTGTTTTCAAGGTGAATATGTCTACAGACTTGGAAGGGACAGACATGTTGGCAGAGAAGGCTGACCGAAGGGAATATATTGATTTGTTGAAGAAAATGTTGACAATTGATGCAGATAAGAGAATTACTCCGCTGAAGACTTTGAACCATCCTTTTGTTACAATGACACATCTACTGGATTTCCCACACAGCAATCAGTAAGCTTCCTCAAGTTTCATTTTTTGTTTCTTGAAGATTTATTAGAAACACAGAATAGCACATTTCTGCTTTCTCCCCGTGCTGTTTTCTGCAGTTTCTGGCTAATATGAAACTGGCAAAGGCATATACAAGGAAACAACTGTTTCATGTTTTCCCAATTTGTGAGAGTCAGTAGGGTATTTAACCAGGACTTACCTCAGAAAAATGTACACTTTTATTGCTAGTTATGGGATATTGTTTTGGGGTTGCTGTTGGGGAAACCCTAAGGGAGCGTATGTAGTTAGAAACCTCACAAGTCTCTGTTGAGGTACACCATATTAAATGTTCTGATATTCCCCTTCTGTCATTTTGTTTCAGTGTGAAATCCTGCTTTCAAAATATGGAGATCTGCAAACGAAGAGTTAATATGTATGATACAGTGAATCAGATTAAGAGCCCATTTACAACACATGTTGCTCCTAATACAAGCACAAATCTGACAATGAGCTTTAACAACCAGCTCAATACAGTACATAATCAGGTAGGTATATCCTTTAGCTGTGCTATAGCAATATAGGATATGTAGCAGTCTGATTTTTTTAGACGTCAGGCCACATTTTGTTCAGCAAAATAACTGGGGCAAAATTAGTTATTTTACATTGAGGCTTACACAGCTGAACAAAACTTGGCCCTATGCTAGCTGTATATACTATACTATATACTGATATATAGCATGTTCTATATACTGATAGAATCATGTCGATACAACCTGACTGGCCATGTATTGTCGCTACATGAAAGATTTTTTTGTTCAACTCTACAAACGTTGTGATGGCTTTTAAACTTTGTGTTTAACAGCTGTATTTAATGTAGTTGGTGTTGTCCGCGTGTTTTCTCTCAAATTGTCTTTTGCTTTTTATGTTCAACCTTTTCTTGGTGCTTACTTCACAGTATAATCCTGATAGTTTCTGTTGTTTGTTTTGTAACAAGTATGAGGGTCACCTCTGAATCCAAATCTGTATATTTTTGTTGTC